AGCAGATTTCCCACGCATCTTAGTTATGTTTCTGCTCAATCCATACTATGTATTCTGAGGCTGCACTCATGTGCTCCAGGACTCCTCGCATGTCTGTGTATTGTCCCACTGAAGGCAAAATTCAGCATGACTCAGGAGCTAATAGAATATAATTGGACAAAGTGGTTAGAAAAAAGAGATGGAGAGGAAAGAAACTGGGATTGTTTATGTTCGTAAGGAGACAAAAAAATAGGGCATGATAATATTATCCAAAAAGTGAATGGTAAAAAGCAGGTAGATTGTGAGCTTCTGTTTTCTCCATCTTAGAACATAAGAACAACGGGAAAATAAATGAAATTAAAAGGTGACAAATTCAAAATTGAGAAAAGTGATTACACTTGAACCTCTTCAGTCAGGCAACCCTGGGAAACAGATTAAATTGTCCAGGTTTGGGAAGATGTGGCAAGATCTGAGTGTGAGGGGGATGTGGGTGGGTCACTTACCTGGCACCCCACCCATGGGGGCACACAGGGCTCCGTGCCTCATGCTGCTAGGGGAACATCAGGGAAAAGCCTCAGGAGAAGCATGTTGCCCTGCTGCTCTTACCCCAGCTGGGGGCGAGGGGGAACAGCAGCACACTGAGTCACTTGCTCTTCCTCCTTTTAGGTTCTGTATCATGGGTGTTCCTGGATTAGGGACACCCAGAGTATGGAGGATCAGGTGTATTTTTTCACACAACTTGCAATTAAACTGCGAAATGTATTGCCACAGGGACCATAGAGGCCAGGAACTTTACAAGAATCAGACAGAATTGGACACTTTTATGGAAAAGAATATTAAGAGGAATAATAGCTAATGTTGACAATATTTGGAAGGGATTCTAAATCTCATGCTTGAAGGTTTAAGCCAATCTCAAAATACTGGAGATCAAGATGAAGCGTAGTACAGGGGGCAGCTGCCACACCTGCCTAACTGCAACATTCTCTCTCCTTCCCCCCATTACCACATCTCTCGTCTTCTATTTAGTCATCACTTAGTTAAGCAACACATTTGAGTTCATTTTGAGCAAAATCCTGCTCACTTTATTCATACAAATACCCATTGACTTCACTGGAAGTACTTCAGTGATTAAATGACTAGGGTTGTCCCTTTAATCTTTCTGCATAAATCGCCCCATTCTGCACTCCTCCTCCTATTATTTAAGTTTTGCAGTCTCATAATTTCCAAATGTTGTGGCCATCTCCATCTCTGAGGGGATAACTCTGTTCTGGAAAGTTGCACTCTCAATTGGCATTTGAAAAGTGTTTTTTTTCTTTTGTTTTTATCTTTTTAACCAAAGATTACACATCCGATAGGAAATAAGTTTGGTGCTGAATCAGCACAGCAATGCTTTAAGAAAATGCATCAGCTCTCAAAATGTGAAAACTGTCCCTTCATTCTCCTTTTCCTTTTATTAAAGTCTGTTCTTATTATAGTCTATTCTGTGGGGGTTTTTTAGAAATAATTGTCCTAATGTTTACTGACAAGATGAATTAAGGAAAATTGATTAGAGAGGCTTTCTATTGTTTTAAGACAAGTGAAAATATTCATAGTTGATTAAAATTATAAATCAATATATTCATAATTATTTATTAAAGAGAAACGTTTTCTGTTTTTCTAGAACAGTTAGTGTTGTTTCAGTCATTTCTGAATAGCCGTTTCAGCCTGGTAACTTTAATGTTTACTTTCTAAAATCTAGTTTGGGGATATAATTCACTAAAGAATGACCACCAGTACAAGACAGTAGCACCACATTTTTAACAGTTACGTTTTTGAGTCAGAGGTTCAGATTTACATTTAGGACCCTTTCCTAGTTTTGCAGTTTCACTTACATCTCAAGGAAACAAGACATGACAAAAGCAGAATGGCACAGAATAATCATAATCTGAATTTTTAACAATATGTAGGGAACTATAATGATGAACTTTCTAGGTTTTTATAATTCAAAATTTTCAAATGTATTTCCTTTTTATTCAAAGCCTTTACACATTAACCCATTTGCCCATTCCCTCTCATTATAATAAGTTTAAGATTAGTATGTCTATGTATCACAAATCTCCTTCAAGTAAAGTAACAACATGCAAATCCACGACTACCCACTTGATAGCCATGGGTTTCCGATCGACAGATATGGATGAGGATATCTGCGGCTCATTTTTGCGGATACAGATGTGGATGCAGATACAAAATATTGTATCCATGCAGGGCTCCAACAATAGTCAGTACAGTGACAAACATGTTAAAGTTAATATGACAACACCACCTACATTTCATACATGTGTTGGTCTGGTCTGCGAGGTATTTGACATCTCTTGAATTTGATGGTGCTAGCCATTGCTTCTGTTCCTTTAAATGTATTTAACTCAAAGGCAAGAGCCTTCTCAAATTTCCACCAGAATTGTAGCTATTTAAATAAGCATTGGGTTCAAACTTGGCTCCTACTGAAGTTTTCTTCCCCAGTTCTCACTCTTTTTCTTCTTCCATCTGTGATTATCTATAATAGAAAGAAAATGAAGGAATAGTGGTTTTCTTCTGGCTCCACTTTCCCCATGTGGGAACTAAGGATGTTAGATACTGGATAATTGAATAATTGTGTAACTGCACCAAATATTATTCGATACTCCCTGGGGGCGGGGCCAGCACCCAGTCCTCTCCCACTCCCACTCTCAGGGAGCTTCCTGCCATCCTATGCTGCTGCAGCAGCATGGAGGGGCAGGTTGGTGCCGATTCGCAAGGAGAGCCAGTTTAAAAATCAGCTCCCCATGCAGACCAGCTCCCACCTGCCATCCCATGTTGCTGCATATAATACAGAGGTGGCAGCATGGGGCAGCAGCAACCCCTGTTTGTGGGGGGCCTGAGCTCCTGCGCCTGCATCCCAAAGAGCAGCCTCTGTCGGCAGTGAGCATTGCGGGGGGAGGGAGTGGCTGTGCAGAGCCAGCACATATGGAGAGCCAGCTTAAAATCCAGCTTCTCATGCATATCAGCTCCTGCCCACTCCTTCTCCCCACACTAGTGCCTCTCAGAGAGAGGCAGCAGCACAGGGGGGCAAGCGGCTTTGCATGAGCCAATATGTGTGGTCAGCCAACTTGAAAGCTGCACCCTCCGTGTTGCTGCCTCTCTCTCAGAGGCACCAGCTTTGGGGTGGAGGGACAGACAGTTCCAAGGGATCCAGTGCCCAGGGTGGGGGGAATGCATTTAGTTGACAGGATGATCCGATAAGCCCAGGATTATCAGTTAATCATACAATCAACTACACGCTGACATCCCTAGTGGTAACCCTCTCATTCTTGCTTAGTAGGCCTTCTCAGCCAGCCCCTTCTACAACTGCAGCATAGACTTGTGCTAGATGGATGGAATTGGGTAGTCACTGAAGCCTATTTCTTTGCTTTTTATGTAACCTCTTTACAGAGAGAAAGGCACTCTTTGCCTGAGTCCCTGATTTACCTGGGTCACCTTCACAAAACCCTTCATGAAATGCAAACCCTTGCTATTAAAAGTAGATGTACTAGGCCTTACCTATACATAGAAGTTGTACCAGTAATTATACGGGTATAGTTAAAGTAGTACAATCCCAATAGAGTGGGTGTAATTTTATCAATATAAAGTTGCTGTAGCTATTTCTCTATGGGAAGGGGAAGAAGTTATGCTGATATAAGGCACTATTGTATATCAATGATACAATATCATTGCATCCACCATAGGAGTTATACTGGTCTAACTATTTTAGTAACAAAAATAGCTACATTGTGGAAACTAATGAATGGACCTGACATTAGTGCAGCCCCTTTTGAGTCGGGTGAGTTAAATTTTAAAATTCAGATAGTTTATAGTATGATAGTGATCACCAAACAAATAAATACATTACATCAAGTGTTTTCTACTATTCTGCAAGCTGTTATTTTTCTGTTCTCTGAAATACCAATAAAGCAGCAAGAGATTTCTTCTCGTCAGGATTATCCCTTTTGTAGGACTGGATGCACCCGTATGGATGCACCCAATGCTTTGTCAGACTCTCTGCTGTAGGATGGGATTAGAGTCAAACCAGAAGCAAACATGATTCATCCTGCAGATGTTAGTTCATTGTCCCTCTGATGTGTAGCCTGTTCTTTCAGCATCATTTTAGTCCCACTTTTTAGATCTGTACTTTTGCTGGTGCTATTTCAAAATAGTATCCTTAAGTATATGACCACTGCATTTAAAATGTACTACAGGTATAGGGATAAAATGTCACTGTGGATTAAAATATTTTTGTCTGTTTTGATTTTAAAGGTAATTTGTGGCCTTTGCATTTTAGAAACATTTATATGTACAGAATTTCCTGCTTGACTAATATTTGTGTCTTGTTTTTAATCACATATATTTTAATCCTTATTCCTATTTAGGCAGTCATATTATTGTCAGAGAGTAAAACTATATCCAACAGGAAACCTAAAATTAGTTTTAAAAGGTCAAAATGTAGTGTACTGCTGCTGACTAGAAGAGTCTGTCAAAGAATTTCTTGTTTCAACATACTGCTGTCATTTTCTGAAATCCCCACTGTATCAGTGAGGAGTGCATGGTTCAGATGATTACAGGAAGTGAAAAAAAAATCATCCCTCATTCCTGTTATCAGCTTTATCCCATGTAGAAGCAACCCCACGGGCACGAACATGTACAAATCTGAACATCGTTCTCAGTACTCAGACATGCACACAAATCCATGCTCACTCCTTTCATCTTCACTGTAATCAAGGGTTCTCATTTTAGTATGAGGAGTATTTTCAATCCCTGCTTCCTTGATGAAATAAAATAAATCTGTTGCTATGGATACCCATCCTAGTAGGAAAAAGAGTTTGTACTGATAGCGAGCTTCGCAGATAAACACTATTTTGCAATTGTCTTTGGTTTTTAAATAGCGCACACTGTTTTACATTTTTCTCCAAAAAAGCACAATATTGCCACTAACAAATTAATCTTGATTTTTTTTTGTATTCCTTCTATAGCTGTAACTTACACAAGTTACAAAAAAACACCACCTCCGGTACCTCCACGTACCACTTCCAAGCCACTCATCTCAATTACAGCACAGAGCAGCACAGAATCCACCCAGGATGCATATCATGATAGCCGGACTCAGAGGATTTCCCCGTGGCCTCAAGATGGTCGAGGAATGTACAACTCGACAGACAGTTTGGACAGTAACAAGGCCATGAATCTTGCCATGGAAAGTGCTGCTGCACAGCGCCATGCTTCTGAGAGTCAAATCACTTCAGTACGAACCAGTGACAAGGCCATTTTAGTGACAAAAGCTGAGGAGTTTCTTAAGAGTCGACGGTCCTCTATAGGGATTCAGGTAGCCTATCATTAACATCTGTTCTGTGATGAATTGCTTGCCTTGGTTCTGTAAATAGCATAGAATGAGTCATTCAGCTTCACTGGCTCTAATAAACAACCCCTGGATGCTTAGCATTAATTGTAATTCTCATCATGGCAAAGTGGCTGTGCAGAAACCTGGAAGTGAAATGAATGAATAAATCTCTAGGGAGGTTACCTGTCATTAACACTTGATATGAAAATTATATTGAAGATCTACAGGTGAACAGCATGCTCATCTCCTTCACTCTGTGAATTCAAAGTCCTTTTTATAGAACTATGTCAGCTTTAATATCCTTGACTGTATTGTTTCATTATCTTTCCTTTTTGATCTTGGGTGATGGGTGCTGATTCTGGTTCTGTGGTTATTGTTTGGTTGGCTGCATGGTGCTTTGGTTTGGGGTTTTTATTATTTTTATTTAAGAATAACTTCTCCAATTCACCAAAAGGAAACTGGTAGAATCATAGAATCATAGAGCTGGAAGAGACCTCAGGAGGTCATCAATTCCAGCCCCCTGCCCAAGGGGGGAGTTTTCTTGGGGATAAGTAAATTAAACATAAGTCAATATAGATGAATGGGGAATTGTAACCTAAAAAGTAATTATAGTATGTGGAATTGATAAGAAAGTCCTTTAAATTTGTACACCACAAAAATATTTATTTGGGGTTACAAAATGTTTGTTGTTCTATGGAACACACTGTCATATTGTATAGTTTCAGGTGAATGAAATATGATTTAGAATGCAAATTTCATAGAATCATAGAATCATAGGACTGGAAGGGACCTCGAGAGGTCATCGAGTCCAGCTCCCGGCCCTCAAGGCAGGACCAAGCTCTGTCTACACAATCCCTGACAGATGTCTATCTAACCTGTTCTTAAATATCTCCAGAGAGGGAGATTCCACCACCTCCCTTGGCAATTTATTCTAATATTTGACCACGCTGACAGTTAGGAATTTTTTCCTAATGTCCAATCTAAACCTCCCTTGCTGCACTTTAAGCCCATTACTCCTTGTCCTGTCCTCAGTAACCAAGAGGAACAAATTTTCTCCTTCCTCTTTGTGACACCCTTTTAAATATTTGAAAACTGCTATCGTGTCCCCCCTTAATCTTCTTTTTTCCAAACTAAACAAGCCCAGTTCATGAAGCCTGGCTTCATAGGTCATGTTCTCTAGACCTTTAATCATTTTTGTCGCTCTTCTCTGGACCCTTTCCAATTTCTCCATATCTTTCTTGAAATGTGGCGCCCAGAACTGGACACAGTACTCCAGCTGAGGCCTAACTAGTACAGAGTAGAGTGGCAGAATGACTTCACGAGTTTTGCTTACAACACACCTGTTGATACAACCTAGAATCATATTTGCTTTTTTTGCAACAGCATCACACTGTTGACTCATATTCAACTTGTGGTCCACTATGACCCCTAGATCCCTTTCCGCCATGCTCCTTCCTAGACAGTCGCTTCCCATCTTGTATGTATGGAACTGATTGTTCCTTCCTAAGTGGAGCACTTTGCATTTCTCCTTATTAAACTTCATCCTGTTTACCTCTGACCATTTCTCTAACTTGCTAAGGTCATTTTGAATTATGTCCCTATCCTCCAAAGAAGTTGCAACCCCACCCAGTTTGGTATCATCTGCAAACTTAATAAGCGTACTCTCTATCCCAATATCTACATCATTGATGAAGATATTGAACAGTACGGGTCCCAAAACAGACCCTTGCGGAACTCCACTTGTTATCCCTTTCCAGCAGGATTTAGAACCGTTAACAACCACTCTCTGACTACGGTTATCCAGCCAATTATGCACCCACCTTATCGTGGCCCTATCTAAGTTATATTTGCCTAGTTTATCAATAAGAATATCATGTGAGACCGTATCAAATGCCTTACTAAAGTCTAGGTATATGACATCCACCGCTTCTCCCTTATCCACAAGGCTCGTTATCCTATCAAAGAAAGCTATCAGATTAGTTTGGCATGACTTGTTCTTCACAAACCCATGTTGGCTATTCCCTATCACTTTATTACCTTCCAAGTGTTTGCATATGATTTCCTTAATTACCTGCTCCATCATCTTCCCTGGGACAGACGTTAAACTGACCGGTCTGTAGTTTCCTGGGTTGTTCTTATTCCCCTTTTTATAGATGGGCACAATATTTGCCCTTTTCCAGTCTTCTGGCAAATACTTTCTTCTGCTGTCTGGCACATAGGTGGTAGTTGTCATTCACATACATCTCTATAAGGTATTGATTATTAATATACTGCAGATGACCCTGCTAACAATTCAGGACCCTTTGAGGACTGAGGAGCAGGTGGATATTTAGGCTATTCCTGCAAACACTTAGGGCATGTCTACACTAAAAAAATAATTTCAAAATAACTTATTTCAAAGTAGCTAATGAAATAATAATTTAGAAATAGCGTGTCCACTATATGGGGAAGTCTCAAAATTAGTCCGAGACAGGCTACATTAATGTGGACATGCTACCTCGACTTACAGCCCCAGGAAGCACTGGGGAGTAATTCGTTTTAATTACTCTGGGGAGTAATTATTTCAAAATAGCAGCACTGAAGCATCCACACTACTGCTATTTTGAAATAACTATTTCAAAATTAGCATTATTCCTTGTGGAAAATGGGAGTTATTATTCTGAAATAACCATCCTATTGTTTTGAAGTAACAGGCTTGGTAGTGTGGAGGCTCTGCTTCTTATTTCGAAATAAGTGTAGACCAGGGCATAGACATGTACTTAACTTTAGGCATGTAAATATTCCCACTGACTTCAGTGGGACTACTCATCTGTTTAAATTCCTCTGTCTTCCCCTACACACAAAGGAATGGTAATGTGACTTTTCACCACTCCTGAAATACATAGTATATGTGGCAATAACAACACAACTGTGAGGACAGTCTGACTCCATCATCATTCCAGAAGACAACATATTAGAATCTAGTAAATCAAGACCTCCCAGTGGATAGGTGTTCAAAATGGGGGGTAGCGGGTAATGATGGGGTGCTAAAAAGAGAAGCGAGTAATTTTTGGTACCTTTAGACTTTTAACCATAATTCACTGTTCAAACAGGAATCATATGTATGGTTGTTCTTGGCTATTATTTACAGCAACTGGAACCAAAGGTATATAACAATAGTAATACTTCCCCTCAACTCCTGTATTTGAATACTTTATTCAGAAGCTTTGATTACTTCATTCATCCAGACTCTTACTACAGGTGATTACCAATCCTTTTAGTAGGGCTGTGGTTCTTCTTTGTGTGCTGTATTTTGGGTAATGTATGCTTATACAGTAATCTCTTAATACATCCATGCAATGATTTACACAGACACAGTGGAATATCTACAGCAAAACAGCATTTGGTGCTTGGCTCCTAGTTCTGGTTTGCAAATTTGATCACTGTAAATGACAAAAGCTGTTTGTGAAAGGTCAAAATCTAAAACCCAAAGCATATATTTTCAAAAGTACAGATTCCACCAATGCATCTTTTGGAGGATTTTGTATATAAGATTAAAATTACAAAATTATCCCAGGACACAATATATATTAGTACTGGTTATTTCTGTAGTAGGTTCCAAATGATACATCTCTGTGAAAATATCCATCTGTAAGATTTCTTAGCAGAAAATACATTTAGACATATTCCCGTTTGCCTTGTTTGCAATAAATAAGAAAGCAGAGTAGAATCATTTTATTTCAAAATGCAGAAAAAATTAGTTCACGAGTCATAAATAAGACTAAACTACTTCAGTTTTGTTAGCCTTTTGCATCAAAGCACCTAAAATAAGGACTTTTTTATTATGTTTTACCTTGATAGATTGCATTACTAGCTTTCTCATTAGAATTCAATGCAGCGCTCTTACAATGCTTCTGCATTTATTTGCATTAATAAATTTGCTTCCAGGATGGATAATTAGTGCATTATTAATGTTGCACTGATTTAACAAATTGGTGTGAAAATTATTGCTATTTCAGATTTAGATAATATGAGACAGTCTAAACCAAGGCAGCCTACTATTATGAAAGTCTTGCTACCATATATGTTTTGAAGATGATAGATTGCTAACTTCAGCACCAATCTAGCAATTGCACTGCATGTGGATCTGTACAGTTCCTGCATGTGGAACACCTACAGAACCCAGCCCTTTATAGGAAAAAGAAATATTTTCTGTCCTTAATCCTGCACCATTCAAGGGAGTTTCATTATTGACTTCAATAGCCTTTTATTCCCGAAGATGTCCAAATCGTAAAATGTTAAATCTGGGTTAATATTTTGTCACTATTCTAGTATATCAGTTCTAGTTAACGCTGCAGTTTTGTCATTCCTATAGCAATAGTCATAAAAGTACTAGAAAGTCATGAGATTACCAGAGGGTAGAAACAAATCCAATGTGTATCAATTTTGGAGATAGGTGTGATATGTAGAATAGAAAATTGACTCTCTTTCCGTCATTTGTCATGAACATGGCATCCTTCAAAATTGGTCATTTTTAGGGCTATTGATCACAGTTAACTCACATGAGTAACTCCAAAATTATTGCAATTTAAAAAATTGTGATTAAGACGTTTTCTTTGCATTGTTAAACAATACCAATTGACATTTATAAAATGTTTTTCCACATTTTTAAAGATTTTGATTTCAATTATAACACAGAATACAATCTACAGAGCTCATTTTAGATTATTTTTATTACAAATATATGCACTGTAAAGATGACAAACTAAAGGAATAGTATTTTTCAATTCACCATCTACAAGTACAATTATGGAATCTGTTTGTTGTGAAAATGCTTTAGTAAAGCATTTGATGTGGTCTTATCATGACCTTCTTATCAATAAAGTAGGGAAATACAACCTAGATGGGGCTAATAATAGGTGGATGCACAATAGGCTGGATAACTGTTCTCAGAGAGTAGTTATTAATGGTTCCCAATCATGCTGGAAAGGCATAACAAGTGAGGC